TTTTTACAAAGGTACCACCACATCACACAGACCTCTGATGCTCAGTGTTTTTACAAAGGTACCACCACATCACACAGACTTCTAATGCTCAGTGTTTTTACAAAGGTACCACCACATCACACAGACCTCTGATACTCAGCGTTTTTACAAAGGTACCACCACATCACACAGACTTCTAATGCTCGGTGTTTTTACAAAGGTACCACCACATTACACAGACTTCTAATGCTCAGTGTTTTACGAAGGTACCACCACATCACACAGACTTCTAATGCTCAGTGTTTTTACGAAGGTACCACCACATCACACAGACTTCTAATGCTCAGTGTTTTTACAAAGGAACCACCACATTACACAGACTTCTAATGCTCAGTGTTTTACGAAGGTACCACCACATCACACAGACTTCTAATGCTCAGTGTTTTTACGAAGGTACCACCACATCACACAGACTTCTAATGCTCAGTGTTTTTACGAAGGTACCACCACATCACACAGACTTCTAATGCTCAGTGTTTTTACAAAGGTACCACCACATTACACAGACTTCTAATGCTCAGTGTTTTTACAAAGGTACCACCACATCACACAGACTTCTAATGCTCAGTGTTTTTACGAAGGTACCACCACATCACACAGACTTCTAATGCTCAGTGTTTTTACGAAGGTACCACCACATCACACAGACTTCTAATGCTCAGTGTTTTTACGAAGGTACCACCACATCACACAGACTTCTAATGCTCAGTGTTTTTACGAAGGTACCACCACATCACACAGACTTCTAATGCTCAGTGTTTTTACGAAGGTACCACCACATCACACAGACTTCTAATGCTCAGTGTTTTTACGAAGGTACCACCACATCACACAGACTTCTAATGCTCAGTGTTTTTACGAAGGTACCACCACATCACACAGACTTCTAATGCTCAGTGTTTTTACGAAGGTACCACCACATCACACAGACTTCTAATGCTCAGTGTTTTTACGAAGGTACCACCACATCACACAGACTTCTAATGCTCAGTGTTTTTACGAAGGTACCACCACATCACACAGACTTCTAATGCTCAGTGTTTTTACGAAGGTACCACCACATCACACAGACTTCTGATGCAAGTTCAACCATGTCCTTAATTTTTCCTTATTTTCTGCTCCGACAACGACCTCTGTAAACAGATACATAGTATAGGTAGTTGAACAGGTAATTCAGATGACAGCTAAAGAGGAGGCCAATGAGAGGCTGTCGTTCCTCAATATCTTCATCCACTGATAACTGGTTAGACGCTTACTGATGCCGTTTATCATTTAATAAAAATATCCACAATAAAACTGAGAACAAAAATGATCGTACACGCATGTATTCCAGTCAAGATTCCAAAACTAAATTAAGTAACATCTATACATTAGTTTATGTGATTAGTTAAATGTCTAAAAGTCCAACCGAAATATCGTTAAATGTTTTTCTTTCTGTTGTGGTAATTTGTTTAGTGTTCCAGTTATGGTATTGTCCTTATTTATTCTCCGATTTTCTGTACAGTGATGCCGCTGTGAACAATATTATCATCCTTTCCAGCAGTCAAGTTTTTCTGATGGTTTTCAGAACATGTACATGGCAACAAAACATGTACATGGCACCAAAACACGTACGTGGTAAGAAAACATGTACATGGTAACACCAAAACATGTACATGACAACACCAAACATGTACATGGCAACACCAAACATGTACATGGCAACACCAAACATGTACATGGCAACACCAAACTCGACTAACAGCCAACTGAATGCCCAAAAAGTTTGGAACAGTCGTTAAAGTGTACATATACCCATGTGACATGCGACAAATATACCTCGAATGGAACACAGAAAATACCTCGAGATAGTTAATCATACACATAACTCTCACAGCAATGAGTGAAAATTTTAAGCAGCACTTCTAATTAATAACGGATCTTAGTTAAACTGAGAAAAGTGTAAATTACTCGAGAAGTCAATAAACAATCGTAAATAGCGAAATGCCTTGAAGCACTTATAATCGTATATTTTAAAGAAGTGGCTTAAACAAAACAAAATCAGGACGGCATATGGCAAAGTTAATTATAGTTTTTGCATTCACAGTAACGCGGAAAGCTTTAACAAAACACCTATTGCAGTACAGTTGTCAAGGCGACTAACCGTGTTGTAATTCGCTGCCGGGTTTATGTATCAACCAATTAGGTGAGTGGTTGGCTTAAGCCATATTCCTGTTATACTTAAACCTTTGGCAGGAGTCAATTTCTCACTAGCTGGATGAGGACACATACTGGTTTCTCCTATTCGAGTTAAAGCCAATAACTGTGAGTGAACTCGATCTGCTCTCTCACTCATTATCACTCATTTTCATGGTATCTACCAACACTGCAGCTCTACTTCCCTCTGACTAAGTCGAGACCGTTGCTAGACGTGGACATAGAGTCACACTGAAAGGTCACTGATACCGACCTTCAGTTTCAAACCCTGGACATCCCCACATAGCAGAGTCAACAAGTAGGATTCAAGACGAAAGAATACACTTAGGATACACTGGCAGACGACACGACCCATTTTTACCAATAACCTTCAAGCAGAGCAGTTGTGTATTAATGTAGCAGCACCACTAGGTATCGAACCTGAAAACTTGCAACATCTACCAAGACTCTACTGCATTCTGTTCATATTATTATTTATGTGGTTTGTTCATAGTCTAGTAAAATTATTTTCATGAGTCCCCCTTTAAATGACAAACTTCTCCAAGAAGTACTACTATTAATACTACTACTACTACTACTACTACTACTACTGCTACTACTACTACTACTACTGCTACTACGGTTATTACTGCTACTGCTGCAACTACTACTGCTACTACTGTTAAATACTACTACTGCTGCTGCTACTACTATTACTACTACTACTACTACTACTGACTACTACTACGCTACTACTGTTATTACTGCTACTACTACTACTATACTAGCTGCTACTACTATACTAAACTACTACTGCTACTACTGTTATATACTGCACTACTACTACTACTACTAGCTGCTACTGTACTATTACTACACTACTGCTACTACTACTATACTACTGCTGCTGTACTACTACTACTACTGCTACTGTTACTACTACTACTAACTACTACTACTACTACTACTACTACTACTGCTGTACAATACTACTACTACTACTGCTACTACTACTACTACTGCTGCTACTACTACTGCTAACTACTACTACTACGCTGCTACTACTGTATACTGACTACTACTATTACTCTATACTACTGCTGCTACTACTACTACTACTGCTTACTACTACTACTACTACTACTGCTACTACTCTACTACTCTGCTACTACTAACTACTCACTACTACTACTGCTACTACTGCTGACTATACTACTACTGCTACTCTACTACTACTACTACTACTACTACTGCTCTACTACTACTACTGCTGCTACTACTGACTACTACTACTACTACTGCTACTACTACTACACTGCTACTACTACTAGCTACTACTACTACTACTGCTACTACTTTACTACTACTACTGCTACTACTCTACTACTACTACTACTATACTGCTGCTACTGCTACTACTACTATTCTACTACTACTACTTACTGCTACTATCTACTACTACTTCTGCTACTACTACTACTATCTGCTACTACTACTACTACTGGTACTACTGCACTACTACTACAACTACTACTACTCTGCTATCTACTGTCTACTACTACTACTTACTGTACTACTACTACTACTGATACTACTACTTACTACGCACTACTACTACTACTACTACTAACTGCTACTACTACTGCTACTACTACTACTGCTTAACATACTACTCTACTACTCAGTACTACTAGCTGACTACTACTACTAGCTACATATACTGCTACTACTATTACTGCTCTACATACTACTACTGGTACTATACTACTACTGGTCTACTATACACTACTACTACTACTGCTACTACTGTTACTACTATACTACTGCACACTACTACTACTAACTCTATTAACTATTCTCTACTATTACTACTACTACTGATACTACTACTGTACTATTACTACTATACTACTCTACTACTACTGCTACTACTACTACTACTATATACTATATACCTGCTTACTATTACTACTACTACTACTACTGCTACTACTACTACTACACTCTACTACTTACTATACTACTGCTACTACTACTACTGTACTACTACTGTATACTATACTATTACTACTGTAAACTACTACTAATGCTTATTATAAACTGTACTACTACTACTTACTACTACTACTGACTACTACTACTACTACTATACTATTACTATTCTATTACTACTACTACTATTACTACTACTACTATACTACTACTTACTACTATTACTACTACTACTTTCTACACATCTTACTACTATTAATACTACTACTGCTACTTACTATTACTACTACTACTCTACACTATTACTACTACTACTCATACTACTACTATTTACTATACACTAACTACTACTACTACTGCTACTACTACTATTACTAATACTACACTAATACTACTACTGCTGCTACTACTACTATTACTACTACACTAATACTACTACTGCTGCTACTACTACTATTACTACTACACTAATACTACTACTGCTGCTACTACTACTATTACTACTACACTAATACTACTACTGCTGCTACTACTACTAAAACTACTACTACTACTACCACTTCTATAGCAATTTCTTGATTAAGACATTATATACATCTCTGTACACTGAAAAAGTTTGTCTTGACATGAAGAAGCTTCTGGCGCATGAACATTGTCCATAACATATGTCTCATAAGGACGTCTTTGTGTCCTTTATCTAACAATGCCCACGTACAGAGTAAACACCCAGTTTGACCACTATTAGGGGTGTATTTTTCAACCACCTAACACTTGTCTCCGTCTACTGCACTCACCTTCTGGACATGTTGAGAGGTAATGACAGTCCTGCAACACCATCACATTCATTACCACCTAATAGTGGCGATCGTTCATCATCATCTTCTTCCTCTTCATCCTCCCTCACTCCATCAATCAGCACCACTGCTTGATCGACGTCAATTAGTGGTGCCGCTTGTGCGTCGTGGTCATGGCTTCTGTCGTCTTGTTGGTAGTGTTGGTGGTGCTGCTGGTAGTGATAGTAGTGGCCACCGTCTTGCTGCTGGAATCCTGCTGCTGTTTCCGACACGAGGGAGGAGTCGATCACGTCTTCAGGGTGTTCCCAAATCGGCATGTCAATTGCTATAGCCGGATCTGTAACAATGAGAGATCAATGCGTTAGGTAGTTAAATTGGCTGGTGTGATGAATTTATTTGAAGTGAAAATTGGAAATAAATCGTGGCCTGATGGCAAAAGCTCTCGCTTTACACGGTGAGGGTCCGGGTTCGATTCCCGGCGAGGGTGAAAACTTTGAACGTGTTTCTGAACACCGGTTGTCTATGTTCACCCATCAGTAAAATGGGTACCTGGGTGTTAGTGGACTGGTGTGGGTCACATCCTGGGTGTTAGTGGACTGGTGTGGGTCACATCCTGGGTGTTAGTGGACTGGTGTGGGTCACATCCTGGGTGTTAGTGGACTGGTGTGGGTCACATCCTGGGTGTTAGTGGACTGGTGTGGGTCGCATCCTGGGACAAAACTGACCTAATTTGCGGGAAATGCTCAGCATAACAAGTGACTTTCTATATAGTAGTACATGTACATGTACTGGTAGTAAATAAAGATATTATTATTATTATTATTATTATTATTATTATTATTATTATTATTATTATTATTATTAATCATAGAATCATAGAATTGATGAGGGGAAAAGGGTGAGCGGTGCACTTAGGAGTCTGTGGAGACAAAGAACTTTGTCCTTGGAGGCAAAGAGGGGAATGTATGAGAGTATAGTTTTACCAACGCTCTTATATGGGTGTGAAGCATGGTGATGAATGTTGCAGCGAGGAGAAGGCTGGAGGCAGTGGAGATGTCATGTCTGAGGGCAATGTGTGATGTGAATATAATGCAGAGAATTCGTAGTTTGGAAGTTAGGAGGAGGTGCGGGATTACCAAAACTGTTGTCCAGAGGGCTGAGGAAGGGTTGTTGAGGTGGTTCGGACATGTAGAGAGAATGGAGCGAAACAGAATGACTTCAAGAGTGTATCAGTCTGTAGTGAAAGGAAGACGGGGTAGGGGTCGGCCTAGGAAAGGTTGGAGGGAGGGGGTAAAGGAGGTTTTTGTGTGCGAGGGGCTTGACTTCCAGCAGGCGTGCGTGAGCGTGTTTGATAGGAGTGAATGGAGACGAATGGTTTTTAATACTTGATGTGCTGTTGGAGTGTGAGCAAAGTAACATTTATGAAGGGGTTCAGGGAAACCGGCAGGCCGGACTTGAGTCCTGGAGATGGGAAGTACAGTGCCTGCACTCTGGTGGAGGGGTGTTAATGTTGCAGTTTAAAAACTGTAGTGTAAAGCACCCTTCTGGCAAGACAGTGATGGAGTGAATGATGGTGAAAGTTTTTCTTTTTCGGGCCACCCTGCCTTGGTGGGAATCGGCCAGTGTGATAATAAAAAAATAAAATATTATTATTATTATTATTATTATTATTATTATTATTATTATTATTATTATTATTATGATTATTATTATTATTATTATATGCTTACTCGCACATCTTCAGAGGAGTAGGAAGAACAGGCAAGAAAAACACATTTTTAAATGACAAACCCAAAGGTAACACCTCACTGAAAGGTGACGACACCTGACACAAACATGTCCTGCACATGTATCATCTCTTATCAAACATGATGCACAACATATTTCGAATTTACTTTCTGGTATCTATAAACTTAACAATTTTATAGTCGAAAATATCGTTTATAATCTTAGGGCAAAATTGTTTTTCTCAAAATTACAGAGTTGTTTGTGAGAACAACAACTTGATGGCGGACAGATGTACGGGTGGGACAGGTTTGTCGGAGGTGTTGTCACCTTCTCTGAATGAGGTGTCACCTCAGTGTTTAGCCACTACTTATTAATGACAGGTTTGTCGGAGGTGTTGTCACCTTCTCTGAATGAGGTGTCACCTCAGTGTTTAGCCACTACTTATTAATGACAGGTTTGTCTGAGGTGTTGTCACCTTCTCTGAATGAGGTGTCACCTCAGTGTTTAGCCACTACTTGTAGATGAATGGTTCAGAGAACCGACACGTTGATAAATTAGACACATGTGCAACTCTTGGGTATCTTTATTGAGGAAACGTTTCACCACACAGTGGCTTCATCAGTCCATACATAGGAGAAACTTGAAGAATAGGAGGAGAATGGGGTAATCAGTCCCTCAGCCTTGAGTCGATGTGGTCAGTCCATCAATCTTGAATAGAATACGGCATATGGGCGGAGAGGCAGCTTATAAACCGTAGGCAGGAGAGGTGCAGCAGAGGTGCACCTCTCCTGCCACTACTTATTAATGAGAAGGGTTGGAGTCGAGAGGGACCTGCTTAGTATGGACCAGTAGCCTTGCTGCAGTGCTTTTCTGTTCTTGTTTCTGTTAGTTGTCCTCGCCTCCTGCACTATCTCAGAGACCTTCCACACATCTCATCTTCGATAGTATATAAGCCTCCATTACCATGACTCAATCGTAAGGACACGATTACAAACAAACCATACCACTGGTGGGGATAGAACCCGCGGTCAGAGTCGTAAAACTCCAGACCGACGCGTTAGCCACTGGACCAGCTGGCTACATAAGATTCACTGATCACAATCACCATAGGAAGATTAGCATAGCCACCACTGTGACGCAAATGCAATGTTTTTACAGACGAATCTCCCGCCAGCGTGGTCGTGACGAACTCTAGCTCAAGTCCCCTCAAAGCCGTTAACATGATGAATCTTATTGTAAAGCAGCTGGTCTAGTGGCTAACGCGTCGGTCTGGAGTTTTACGACTCTGACCGCGGGTTCTATCCCCACCAGTGGTATAGTTTCTCCATTACCATGCTTCAGCTTTACATTGTTCCAGACTATGGAACTGAACACTTCACCAGGCTGACGGACTGACCACCTCGCTGTTGCTGGACCGATCACAATCTTTACCTCGCGACTACTGTTGTTGTTTCCATATTTATTTTCCTTTGCATTTGGCTGAAGGAATCTACCATAGAAAAAAACGTTACAATAACGATATCCTAGTGACTGGTCTTTGTGAAACATTGCTAAACTAGTCAAAACAAAAAATTAATTGCAAGTAGTATACATCCTTCCAGTTTAGTGGTACACCGGTATACATCTGGTATAACGGTATGCAGTTGATGGGCAGGAAGTATACCTGTCTTATAAATCCCCATCACCCTCCCAACCCTATCCTATTTCCACCCTTACCCATCCTTCTTCCTTCCCCATCTTACCCATCCTTCTTCCTTCCCCATCTTACCAAAGCTCTGGTCAGAACCTCGACCCCGCTCCAGGAGCACGGGTAAGACTACACAAACCAGAAATCTAATTTCATTTATCTTTATTCTTGCTGAAGTCATTTATTCGAAGCCGGAGAGATTCTTTCCGAGAGAATATGAATTTGGACGGAAAAAATGCACTAACAATGGTTCAGTCTGGAATTTTGAAAAGCGAGGACAAGAACGATACAATTCCAGGCCAGACGGTAAGCCAGTGGGGCAGCTGGAACTATGTGACTCATTTACCGAGAGTTCCAGCTCCACCCGTACCGTGGTTTGTTTGTAATCGTATTATTACGATTTCCTGAATCATATTACTGAAACTGTGGCCAGAATACTATGTAGAGCCCTTCCTCTCTTTTCTCTCAGTCACTGGCTATTATTTAACTCCTTGCTTGAGAGGCTGTTCAATACAACTGCTCTGGTGGCCTGGTGGTTAACGCTCTTGCTTCACACGGCGAGGGCCTGGGTTCGATTCCCAGCCAGAGTAGAAACATTGGACGTGTTTCTTTCAACCTGTTGTCTATGTTCCTCATCAGTAAAATGGGTACTTGGGTGTTAGTCGACTGGTGTGAGTCGCATCCTGGGACACTGACCTAAGGAGGCCTGGTCACAGACCGGGCCGCGGGGGCGTTGACCCCCGGAACTCTCTCCAGGTATCTCCAGGTAAATCATATTTAGAGATAATTGCACACTCTTGCTTCATAAATAATCATTCATTAGCCAATCTAGTTATGATTTTTTAAAAACATTTACCTCTTACCTATTTAAAAATTGTGTGACACAGCAATTAAGAATAATTAAGAATAACCAGTAGGCCTAAGAAAAGCAATTAAGAATATCATGTGCTTGTCTACGATTAAGTGTAAAGTTTTAAGACACTGGAAATTAAATTTAAATGACAGCATTTACAGACATGATGTCAGAACAAGACTATTAATTAACAGCATGGGGCAGACAACACCTTCCACGTCTATATTATGGATCGCAAGCAAGCCAAAACTGCCCAGCGTGGGCGTATTATCTGGAGAAGGGAGAGAGACCTGTCACCTAAAAATATCACTTGTCAACTAGGCACATCACAGGACACTGTGAATACGAGGTGACGTAGGTTATAAATCACTGCTGCAACTTGATATAACTCATAAATCACTGCTGCAAGGTGACATAACTCATAAATCACTGCTGCAAGGTGACATAACTCATAAATCACTGCTGCAAGGTGACATAACTCAGAAATCACTGCTGCAAGGTGACATAACTCTAAAATCACTGCTGCAAGTGATGACATATCATACTCAATAAATCAACTGCTGCAAGGTGACATAACTCATAAATCACTGCTGCAAGGTGACATAACTCATAAATCACTGCTGCAAGTGACATAACTCGAAATCACTGCTGCAAGGTGACATAACTCATAAATCACTGCTGCAATGTGACATAACTCATAAATCACTGCTGCAAGGTGACATAACTCATAAATCACTGCTGCAATGTGACATAACTCATAAATCACAGCTGCAAGGTGACATAACTCATAAATCACAGTTGCAAGTTGACGTAACTCATAAATCACAGCTGCAAGGTGAAATAACTCATAAATCACAGCTGCAAGGTGAAATAACTCATAAATCACTGCTTCAGGTGACTATAACTCATAAATCACTGCTGCAAGGTGACATAACTCATAAATCACGTGCAAGTGACATAACTCATAAATCACAGCTGCAAGGTGATATAACTCATAAATCACAGCTGCAAGGTGAAATAACTCATAAATCACTGCTGCAAGGTGATATAACTCATAAATCACTGCTACAGGTTGATATAACTCATAAATCACTGCTACAGGTTGATATAACTCATAAATCACTGCTACAGGTTGATATAACTCATAAATCACTGCTGCAAGTGAATAACTCATAAATCACTGCTAAAAGGTTGAATAACTCATAAATCACTGCTCAGGTGAATAACTCAAAATCACTGCTGAAAGGTTGAATAACAATAAATCACGCTGAAAGGTTTGAAAAACTCATAAATCACCTGAAAGGTGAATAACTCATAAATCACGCTCAGTTGAATAACCCCATAAATCACGTTGAAAGGTTGAAATAACTCCATAAATCACGCTGAAAGGGAAAAAACTCAAAAATCACTGCTGCGGGTTGATATAACTCAAAAAATCACTGCGAAAGTGAATAACTCATAAATCATGTCCCAAGGTGCATAATCAGATTCAATGCTACAAGGTAATATAACTAATAAAAATCATTTGTTGCAAGGTTGCATAATTCTTATTTCAAAGTTAATAGCCGACAATTTATTCCGGAAGTTACATTATTAGGGGTTAATTCGAAACAAAGCGCTAAACCTACTATGGTCACGACTAAACCATACCACGGGGGGGTTTGAAGCGTTAAACTCAAAACCCCAGACTGTCGCGTTAGCCCCTATGGTCATAAGCTGCCGGGCAGTGGGATTGTTGCATCAAGGAACAGCTAAGTGGAGAGAAGAACGAGGTGAAATATAAAGGGGCAGGAAGAGTTTAAAGGAAGTATCAAAAAGGGGGTGTAGTAAATTACTTTACAAAGCCAATGAGGGAGTCTAAGTGAAATATTTCTGTCAGCGAAGAAGATAAAAAGGGATTAGAGTAGTACGACTTCGGATGTAAATTCTCTTCATACCTGTTTGATAGACCGGACAGTACAATAGAAATAGCCAACCGAAATTGACTGACTTTTCATAGAGTGGAACAGGGCGCCCTCCATAAGATAAACCCCTGAGTAAGACGAGTGTGTCCGATGTGAAGATGGAGAGCGTAGTCTCCCAAAATAAAATAAATTTTTTCAAAAGACCAAGAGAGACTACAGCAAAATAGTTTGTATATGGAACACCTCTGTATGAAACTGAGAGGTCATGTACTGCTGACTGCCCAGCTGTACATGACCTGTTCATTGCCCTGAATGTCAACATGACCAGGGACCCAACAGAAAACAGTATCTTTGTTTTGGTTAGAAATGCGGTGTAACCGAAGTCGTATAGGAAGAATCAGGGGATGAGGTGAATCAAATTTTTTAATAACCTGCAAAGCACTAAGGGAGTCTGAGACTATTACAAATGGCAAGACAATCATATATGCAATACGGATAATTGCTACGAGAATTGCATATAATTCGACTGTAAAAATGCCAGCCGAGTCTAATAAATACCCTCGCACTACACTGTTAGGAAACACTGCTGCAAACCCGACACTGTCAGAGTATATAGAACTATCAGTGTATACAGCGACGGCATCAGAATGAGACTGGAATTAATCAAGAAAATTAGAGTGAGAAGTGACTGTAGGTATTTGGGCTTTCACGCATGGCAGTGGGGAAGAACAGACACGAACTGTCAGAACCTCTCAAGGGAAAAGGGAAAAGTTAGATGCTAGATGAACATATAACAGGGGCAACTGAAGAGAAGACAAGAGCAAATGTAGATGAAGAGAAAAGAGACAGAGTAAATAGGGGCGACGAACAAACAATAGATTTCTAGTAATGTCCCTTACTATCCTGAACATGGAAGGGTTGCGAAGGTCAAGAGAGCCGATAAAATAGCGGAGGCAATAAGCATCATGCATCATGCCTGCCTGAGCTTTGGGGTATAGAATGTGATGCCTTGGTTAAAACTGAGGTCGAAAATAGGTGTAACAGCTAATCAACAGAGGATGAACAAGGGTCTTCACTAAAAGCAGTTTGACGCGAGCACAGGTCCCAATTCGCTCGGTCAAACTGCCAACATGGGCTTCGAGAATGGTGAGAAAATGAATGGGAGAATATAAATGCTATGTAAATCTGGGAGTACAGACCAGGTAAAGTCGAGTGCAGTTGATGAGGAGCAAAGTGAGAGATCGATGAAAGAGAGACAGAGATTAAGTACGAGGGTTAAAATGGGTAGAGGAGCAGTATTTAAAACATGGAGAGGGAGAGAAGTGAGGAGAGCCTCTAAGTGAATGCCGCGGGAGTCACAGTGAGACCCGCAGAGGAAATGGTGAGCATTAAAACCGCCTAATAACAGAAGTGGTGGCCATAATGAAGAAACCAGAAACTCACCATATGTGATAGATAATGCCCGAGAAGGAGACAGATACAGTGAACAGACCTTATACCACTTATTCAAGTAGATGCAAACTGCAGTACAATGCAGCGAAGTATCAAGAGAGATCTAATGGTATGGAATACCGGTGCATACAAGAAGTGCACTTTCATTAAAGTTTCTATCGGGAAAAGGATCTGATGAATGTAGTAAAACAGAACCCGAGATGGGATGGGCAACAGTGGAGAGTAATTTGGATTCCTGTAAACAAACAGGAAAAAACTGGGAGAGCAACACATGAAACTCACCCCAGGTTACCTCTGAAGCCTCGAATATTCTACTGTAAATAAGCCATAAGCTGTGAAGAGATAGATACAGAAAATATGAAGCAGTAGGTATCTACGGACTAGACGGGCTAGTAAAGTCCTCATGTGGAGGCAGCGGAAACAAGTAAGCAGCGACGAATTGGAACTCAGTGAAGAAAAAGTTGTGAGATGGAGTAGAAGAGTGAAGAGGAGCAATGGAAGGTGGACCCGTGTCCATTATTGGTTCAGTCTCCTCAATATATCAGGAGATAATTTCAGGTCAGGGAAGTTTTATATGGGACGACATAGGATATAGAAGGGGGAGGGTGATTAAAGATTGGGGCGACAATGGAAGTTACCAAAGAAGAGGGGGGACGAGAGGTTACGGTTAGCTTGGAAAGAAGCTTGGGAGAGGACAGGAGAGAAAGAAACCTGGGATGGAACTGGAGGGGCGGGGACTGTACGAGGGGGAGGATGAACTAGGTACAGATACTGAAAAGGAAAAATGTTCGGTAAGGATTAGCGAAGGAGGGGTTAAAGGAGATTTACACTTGTGGAATGTTTTTGACTTTGGAGAAGCGGAAGAGTGAAGTTGAGGTGCTGTTGCGTGAGGTCCTTTAGACACAGAAACTTGCGAGCGAGAAGATGATTTGAGAACAGTACGAGGTGACAAGGTAGAGGGACCTTCCACAG